TTCTAGCAGAGGCCTAAAGCTGGTTTGGACATGAGTGGTCTGGTTCTGAGCAGTTGGCTCTGCAGTCAGTGCAGCAGGGTCAGGGCAAGACTCCAACTTGATTAGGTGCCCTCACCCTCACCTCCTGGCACTCAGAGGGTGAAGACAGACAAATGTGAACCTCAACTGTCAGGAGAGAAAGCCCTTCTTCCTTCCTCTAAGTCTATTTCCTCCCTTTATCATTTCATGCCCATCCCAACTCTAGGTCACCCAATAAACTCAGGCTGGGAACAGCCATTCCTCTATAGTACAAATGGGGCTGTGGTTACTAGGATAAAAAAAGTGGGGGATAGGGAAAATTTTTATAAGAAAATAAGATGAAATTATTATTTTGGGCTAGCTGGCCTGGAATAGACTTCCACGACTCCACTAGGCTCAGGAGACCAATCTTACTCCCCCAGCACCCAGATGGCGAGGACCTGGTCTCAGTCTTCCTTGGCTCAACATTATGCTCATCATCATGCTCCTTTCTCCCCCTTCTCTGAGTCAACTGTAGGATGTAAGTTTTAAAGCTTCTCCCTCCAGGCTCTTCCCCCTCACGCTTAGAGCCCAACTTAAATACTAACACTGCCTCCTGAACTGTCCAATCCAGAGACTCCACAGTGGATGTGCTGTTTCTCCTTGGTTGATGCCACCATCTCCCCTGGTTAAGTGCATAAGAACTCTGCCCTAATACTCCTGGTCATGCTCTACCTGGCAGCTGGGACCCTACTGCAATGCGCCTACTATTTAACTGAATGTCATTTGTGTTTATTGAAAAAAAAAAAGGGGGGGGGGGAAAGGACAAAAAAAAAAAAAGAGAGAGAGAAAAAAAAATATTGGGGGAATAAAAAAGGTTTAACCGTCCACTGAACAAAGGGAGGACACACAACATCATTAAAAATAGTAATTATCATTATAGCATAAAAACAAACTTTAGAAACACACGTCAGAGGGCTTAAATTTCTCCCCAGGACCTCATTCTCACCTCTACCAGAGGTGAATGTTCACCTCACTGTTATAAGAAAACTGAAGAGAGAAGACAGAGCGGCAGAAGAACAGATCGCAGCGGTATGAAATAAAGGGGAGGTGGTGGGGCAGGGCTTGTGTTTTCTTGCTGATTTCTATTTTTTGTCTTCTGTTTTGTTTTCCGTGTATGGTAGGCACCAGTACAGGCACTGCATGCGACGGAAGTTAGGGCCAAAGGGAGAGGAGAGGGGTAAAGGATTCAAGGTTGGGGCAGTACAAGTGGAACAGGCGTTATTTCTGTCCACTAATGGATTGCGATATAGACCGGGGAGGGATCATGTCTAAAAGGTATTCCCGCTGTCGGTCTGCCAAACTGGGGGCTTTGTGTCCTCCGATGCCAGTGTTCAAGTATGCAATGTTGACACCTAGACCCAGGAGACAAAAGTGGAGGGCAGGTATTAAAAAGGAAATAACACCTTCTTTTGCTACTTAGGGCTGCAGAGCTGGAGACGGGGAGAAAACATGAGAAGCTGCCTACTTCTGTCCAGACTCAGTTAACTTTATTTCAGTAGCAACTACCCCTTTGCTCTAAGCTTTAGGGAAAGAGGTCTTCCTGAAACTTCAATCCTTCAAGAATAATAAACATGACGTCTTGATGATATAGGCGAGTCAAAGAAAACAGTGGTGAGAAGAAAATAACCAAGACAAAGAGATGAAATCATTGAATCTGCTTTGGTTTTGGGGCTGCTGACCATGGAAAGGCACCCCTGGATCAAACAGGATTAGGACAGTTGGTTCTGCAGTTCTAGCCAAAAAAGATCAATAACCACATGCCCACCAAGGGGGCAAATTAGACATTAAATTTCTAATGGCAGGGACTTTGTCAGTTTCACCACCAAAACCCTAGTACACTGTGCTTAGCATGTAAGGCATATAGATCAATGGAACAGAACAGACCCCAGAAATTGACACAAGCCATTACGCTCCATTAATATTTGACAAAGGAGGCAAGAGCATACAATAGAGTCAAGACAGTCTCTTCAATAAATGGCGTTGGGAAAATTGAACAGATACATGCAAAAAAATGAAACTAGACCACCAACTTACACCATACACAGGAATAAACTAAAAATGGGTAAAGGACTTAAATGTAAGTTGTGAAACCATAAAAATCCTAGAAGAAACCATAGGCAGCAAATCTCAGACATCTCCATAGCAATATGTTTATGGATACATCTTCTAGGGCAATGATGGCGAACCTATGACACGCGAACTCATTTTTTTGGTTGATTTTTGTTAAATGGCATTTAAATATATAAAATAAATATCAAAAATATAAGTCTTTGTTTTACTATGGTTGCAAATATCAAAAAATTTCTATATGTGACACAGCACCAGAGTTAAGTTAGGGTTTTTCAAAATGCTGACATGCCAAGCTCAAAAGGTTCACCATCACTGTTCTAGGGCAAAGGAAACTAAGGAGAAAATAAAAAAATGGGACTATAGCAAAAGAAACCAACAAAATGAAAAGGGAGCCCACTGTTTGGGAGAACATATTTGGCAATGACACATCTGATAAGGGTTAATATCCAAAATATATAAGGAACTAATACAACTTAAAAGAAAGAGAAACAATCCAATTAAAAAATGGGCAAAGGACCTAAAAAGACACTTCTCCAAAGTGGACATACAGGTGGCCAAGAGACATATGAAAAATGCTCAAAGTCACTGATCATCAGAGATGCAAATTAAAATGACAATGAGGTATTATCTCACACCTGTTAGAATGGCTACCATCAACAAATGACAAGTGCTGGGGAGGATGTGGAGAAAAGAGAACCCTAGTAGTACACTGCTGGTGGGAATGCAGACTGGTGCAGCCATTATGGAAAGCAGTATGGAGTTCCCTCAAAAATTTAAATATGGGAACTGCCATTTAACCCAGTGATCCCACTTCTAGGAATATATCCTAAGAAATCCAAAACACCAATCAGAAAGAATGTATGCACCCCTATGTTCATAGGAGCACATTTCACAATAGCTAAGATCTGGAAACAGTCCAAGTACCCATCAGTAGACGAGTATATAAAAAAGCTGTGGTACAGTGGAATACTATGCAGCACTAAAAAAGAAAAATCTCTTACCCTTTGAGACAGCATGGAGGGGCCTGGAGAGTATCATGCTAAGTGAAATAAGTCAGTCAGAGAAAGTCAAGTATCACATGACCTCACTCATATGTAGAAATCTAATTAGCAAGATAAACTGAAGAACAGAGTGGATCCAGAGACATGGAATCATGGAACAGAGTGCAAAATCTCTGAGGAAGGTGGGGGAGGGTGGGTGGATGGGAGATAATCAACCAAAGACCTTGTATGCATATATGCCTAACCCATGGATATAGACAATAGGATGGTGAAGGCCTAGGGTGGGGGGTAAGGGCAGGGTGGAGGGGGTCAATGGAGAAAAAAAGGGAGCATATGTAATGCTTTCAGTAATGAAGATTTAAAAAATTTGTCATATAAAAAAAGAGGGAAGGGAGTAGGACCTAAAGAAAGAGCAGAAAACAAAAGAAGGACAATTTACCTAAAGGGGCTGCTATAGAATTGTGTACTAACTAGTTAATCCCTGAGAAAAGTTCTCAGATCAACCCTTCTTACCTGGCATACCAAGGAGGCCCCCTGGCACAGACAGCTGGGGTGCCTGTGCAAAGTTGGAAAGCATGGAACGGGCAGATGTGGGTATGCCACGCTGGAGGCTGCTTTGGGGCTGTGGAGCCTGCAACGATGAGGAAACAGTTCATCACAACTTTGCCATATGGAAAGTTTAAGTGGGGGAGTAAGAACATGAAAGTGCAAGATTGTAGTATGACTTCCCGCAGAAGGAAAAACCAGTTGGGATAAATAGCTGACAAACCCTGAGATAATTCCTCACCTGCCGAAGTGTATGATGTCTCATTATGGTCTCTTGTTTACTGACACTGGACACAGCTGGAGCCGTAGTGGGGGAGAGGGCTGCCTGCTGCTGTAATCGCTGTTCAATTTCCTGTTGGGAGTCATCAGGTCAAATTGGGCAGGACAGCACCCAATTTCCTAACCAGAAAACCTAGAGGTCTTATCTCTATTGCTGCCAGCTAGTTAAAGGGATATAAAAAAAGGCCATAGAGTCTGGTGGGGTACAGTGCACTAAGATATCAGGGTACAAGTAGCCTACATGCTTCACTGATTAAGGGGCCCCTCTCTCCTGGAAAGCTGGCTCTCAGAAGCTGGCTGGGTAGTGGGGATGAGCTGACCTGTATAATTAAAGCTGATGAGTTACTGAGGTTTTATTTTTGACTTCTGTCTACCATTTTCCAGAAGGTTCATGATGTTACCCAAAGGGTCTGATGGGTGGAAAATGTGATAGAGGAAAAGAATCTGAGTTTCCCAACACATCCTCCCCTCTTCAAGACAGATTCATTATATTAACCCCTAGAGTGCCGGGAGTGCTATCCTGCTCCTCCTGCAGTGTCACTATTAGATGCTAGTAGTTCACTCTTTATTGACAGATGGCACCTAAGGAAAATCAGCAAAAATGCCTTGGCAATTTTAGCATAGTTCCTAGGATATTGGTTGGCACTCAAAGGGTTAATACTATAGGTGGTATTCACACACTCTAGCCCCACTAGTCTTCACTGGACTATTTTATATCTACCCTTTCCATTGTCATTTCTTTGTCAAATATGGACTGCAGATAATTACTTCTCTCAGAGAGATTTCCAATACAAATACAAATCCCTCCCATTAAGATCCATTTGTTTGAGGAGGAAACAAAGTTGAGAATAAATTTCTTTAGTGCTATTAGGGAAAGGCAAGAGTCTCAAGCTTTCTGTCCTTTTCCCTTAACCTCAGTCATTATATATCACTCACTGTGCTCTTATCCAATCAGAAATAATCAAATGGAAATGGGAAAGAGAATGGTTAAGTAGGAAAAAAGGGAACCACGGCTTCCAGGTTCTAGGAACTTCAATCCAGAAACCAAATCACCAGGACTGTGAGGATCACATAGATAGCTCCTCTAAATTAGAAGTAATTATCTTTAGGGACAACCCAACCTGGACAAGTCTCTGGTGAGAAGTCAGAATTCTTACCTGTTCCTGCTGTAGGGCTTTAACAAAAGCGTTTTTCAGCCGGTTGGTGTGTTCAGCTTTTAGAGCCTTCTTCTGGTTGGAGGTCATACATTGCTCACATAGAATCTTACCATTCTTCTCTTGCTTCCAGTGAGGGGTGAAATCTGTGCGGCACTGGGCACAAACAAAGGGTTCGACCCGCAGAAGTGAGGCACAGCTTTTGCCTAGATCCAACAAGAAGAATAATCAGTGGTTTCACATTTCCTCTCTATCTCGTTTCTCTTCATCAAAGGAATCTTTTTCCAGGAGTTTACTTTCCTGAATTAAGAAAGAGACTCTACAAAAATAATACTCTATAAAATACTTTATTTCCTTTGATTGTAACAGCATAACTTTAGTGAATTCAGATAGTACCATTCCCATTTACAAAGGAGCAAACAAAATCTAAGAAACATAATTCCTAAATAACAAAGCTGGCATAAGAACCCGAGTCTTCTGATTTCTTATTATATTACCATTCCAAAAAGTGCCAATTTAGATTCAAAGGACTCCAGCTAACTCAGCCAATACTTTTGCTTCTTAGCACTGCTTTACCTCAGATTACATTTATCTTTGTCACATGTGTTTATAAGTTTTAGTTATCAGTGTCTAAATGATTCACTTTATGATCTATTTCTAGCCAATATTGAGCCCTTTAGACACTTTACTGTCAGGTATTCCCTTAAACTTGTATGTTTGGAAATTCAGGCTTAATAACTTAATGACAGGGACTGAATATAAGAGTGTAGCACAATGCCCCATAAACACTGACATTAAAAGTAAGTGTTCTAGCCTGGCCAACGTGGCTCTGTGGTTGAGCGTGGACCATGAACCAGGAGGTCACAGTTTGATTCTGGGTCATGGCACATGCCTGGTTTTGGGCTCAATTCCCAGTGGGGGGATGTGCAGAAAAGCGGCTGATCAATGATTCTCTCTCTCATTATTGATGTTTCTATCTCTTTTTCCCTCTCCCTTCCTCTCTGAAATCAATTAAAAAAAAAAAAAGTACAACTCAACACCAAAACTTAAAAAAATAAGTGTTCTAGTCATCAAATTATGTATGAATTATGCTAGGCACAATTTAAAACAATACACTGCAAAAATACACAAGAGACAAAAAATACACAATATATATAGTAAGAAGAGGTTATTTAATATTACACAATATCCCGTGATACTCTGCTTATGTCAACCAGGCTTGGCAACCTCTTGCTTAGATAAAGACTGACTAGAGAAAAAAAAGTCTTACCTTGGCTGTCGATAACACTTTGTACGACTTCTTCCAAGCCTACCATGTAGATGAACTCGCTGTTAGCTGCACTAGGCAGAAAGTGAAGCAAGGGAGCAGGAGGTTTAGGGGGTGGAATCTCCAGGAGTGTCTTTTCCAGCTGTTTACGAAGAGCCAATTTGGCTGCAGCCTGTGAGTTGGCAGCATCGGTCATGGCGCTGGGGCTAGGAAGTGGTGAGGACACTCTGTTCACGGTCCCTGGCTGGATATGGGAGGCAAGATTCATATAGATGGCAGAGGATGTTGTGCGCTGACAGGGAACAGAAGAACTTGACTGCTGAAATAGATTTAGTACAGGGTCAGTGATGATATGTGGGAGAAAGGACCAATTCTTGTTTTTGTGGCAGAGAACATTATTTGATCTTAGTTTAGACTACCTAGCTTCCCCCAAACTAAGAAAAAGGCAGGAGGTGTCCAATTTCTTCATTGAAAAAAAACTACAGCACACAGGAAAGAAGAATGATAGTGACTGAGCTAAAATTGCTAAGGGAAAAATAAAAATATTCCCTAGAGACTTCTATCTATCTTCTAGACCAGGGGTCCTCAAACTACGGCCCGCGGGCCACATGCAAATACAAATATTGTATTTGTTCCCGTTTTGTTTTTTTACTTCAAAACAAGATATGTGCAGTGTGCATAGGAATTTGTTCATAGTTTTTTTTTAAACTATAGTCCGGCCCTCCAACGGTCTGAGGGACAGTGAACTAGTCCCCTGTTTAAGTTTGAGGACCCCTGTTCTAGACAATGTTAGCTCATTATGCTCTACTGGTATAATCTCTTTTTTCCACCTCTACTTTCATATAATTCCCTCAATGCTTCCACTTTTGGGGATAGGTGTCCAAGTTCCATCAAAATTACCCTTGTTGTCTTAATTTCTATCTGTCCAAAAACGTAAAACCTACAGTTCTTTCAACAGGGAAAGCAAATAAAAGATTTCTGTGTTACCACATAGGGCTCTCTCTTACCGGTTGGTAATTGATGGCGGGATTTATATTGGGTGTTGTGGTGCGTACGAGGCCAGGCTTAGGTGGGCCGCGCTGACCCTGTAGCTGGGCTGGGTTTGGTGCAATAACACGCTGAGACATCAACATGTGTGGGAGGGTGGTGTTGGTTGCCGAACGAATGACACTATGACCCTGAAAGGGAAGAAAAGGAAAAGAACTAGTCATAGGTGATAAAATGCCCCACAAAATGTGAAAGGGAAAACATTATTTATAATACGTAGCTTAGTAGAAATATAGAATAAGTATACCATCACTGTACACCCTTATTAGTCGCTAGAAATTCCCTGGCCTTTTTTTTGTATAAGCTATCTAATCTATATGGAAAAGGGCTAAACTGAAAACCTTCTCTAAGAAGAAAAACTAGAGTAGAAAGATGAGGGTTATTCATCCTACTGCAGACTAAATCAGGCCACAAAGGACCAACAGGATTGCCTGTAGTAGTAACACCTATTTCATGGCCCTCTGACAGTAAGATCCCACTATGGGTCACATACCTGTAATGTTCTTAAATTCTGAGGTTCAACCCCCTGGGCCCCAGGCCGGGAGGGAAGCTTGGATAGGCCCTGCTGTCCAACATGGGCAGGAGATGGCTGAACAATAGATGCTGCATTCTGTACAATTGGAGTCTGGGAAAGAGAATAGAAAATGAGACAATTGGAAAAGGCTGAAGAGGTATAAACTTGGTACACTTCTAAACTTTTTTTTTTTAATTTTTATTGATTTCAGAGAGGAAGGGAGAGGGAGAGAGATATAGAAACATCAATGATGAGAATCATCTATCAGCTGCCTCCTGCACAACCCTACTGAGGATTGAGCCCACAACCCAGGCATGTGCCTTGACTGGGAATTGAACCGTGACCTCCTGGTTCATAGATAAATGCTCAACAAATTGAGCCACACCGGCTAGGCAATACACTTCTAAACTTTAAAAATTCTTATCAGTGTGAAGCTCCCACTGACCAGGAGGGAAAATGAAGGCAGGG